AATGAAATAAGAGTTACGGGCCGTTGGTTGGTTTCACAATATAAAAGGGTCGCTCGTTCCACTGTGCAATTAGAGCATCATACTCAACGCAGGGTTTGGGGCTTTCCACCTGGCTGGGGAGCTCATGGAGCCACTCGGGAGAGAAGTCGAAGGTGCTAGGGGGAGGTTGAATAAAATAATATTTTAATTTCTGGGAGACCTTACAAGGATGATGCTTGAAGAAGCTAACAACATTACGACCAGAAAGTCAACTCTACCAAGTTGCGTATCACACGCCATGGTCAGAAAGTTGTTAGGTAGATGAGATACAAAGTAGATTTGCTAGAAGAAGTTTGTGTGAGTAATTTATATTTGTACTTGTTGGTCGAACACTTGCATAATAAAAAAGTTATGAGGAAGAGAGACGCTCTCCTTAAATTCATTTTTATATTTAGTTGACCGCGCGTCGCGACGCGGCAAATTTAAATTTATAAATTATCCTCAACTAACCTCTACTAACTAGTAGTAGCGGCGAGTAAGGGTCGATCCCACGAGAAGCAGGAACTAAGTCGTGACAATTTTCGTATTAATCGAACTAAGACTAAGAAAACAGTAAAATGGGGGGGTTGGTTTAAATGAAAATAAAAATAAAAAGAACAAGAGAAATAAAAATTAAATAAAATGAGAGAAGTCCAGTTTTCGGTTCAGTTATCACCCAATCTAAATTTACCGTTAATCAATTTCTACGCTTTCTTTAAATTGCTAATGAATTACCGACCCTAGCTAACAACAAGCTCTGTTAACCGAATTTTCCCTTACCGATTATTTAATCGAAATAAGCTCTTCGACTAAACCTAACTAGCGGACAACCTAGAATAAGCTCTCTAGATTTAATACACTAGCAACATTAATTACTAGGAAAATAGATCAGTCTAAGCAATGGACGCGTAAGCTCGGACCATCTAACTTATGTTCACGCTACCCTAAGGATGCACGACCCCTAGTTTACTACTAACGAAATAAGACAATAACAATTACGGATTAAAGTCCTAAATCTAGCAATTGAACTATGAACATTCAACGTAGCTGGCCAAACTAAATCAAACATCATAATTCATAAACATTAAACACAGATAACGTGAATCAACTCATCCACAAAAATAAATACGGCGTCTAGATTAATCAACGATAAATATAAATCCTCAAATTCATAGACAAATTCAAGTTAGGGTTCAAACATCCCCTCAAACTGGATAAAAATCTAGCCTAGCATACTAACAAAAATAAATAAAAAATAAAAGAGAGAATAAAATCTCCCTCGTGTGCGGTTTGCGGCTTCCCTCCGCGTGTGTTCTTTTTTCCTCCGTGCGTCTCTCTTTGCTCTCTCTGTCCGTGTACTCTTCTGTGCGTCCCCTTTTTTATTTCTTTCCGCCCTTAATTAATGTTGTTGCGTGCCTCTTCTGCTAGTAGACTCCCCCATAAATAAAACTCTTATGTCCTCTTTTTTATTGGTTGCTCCCAAACAATTAAGTGCATGAGTGGTGTCCATGTGTCTTAATTTTTTTGAACTTTCCGCAACAATACATCAAAATTGAGTTTCACTTCAACGTAGGCCAAATTCAAGCCCAAATCAAGCTCTTATCTATTGCCCAAATCATATTCGTCCACAATTGGGCCATGGTCGATCTGGTATCGGGTAGGCGGTAATGTATTGTTTGAGCTCTTGTCCAATGCTTCGCGTACACAAATTGCTCCAAAATACTGAAAATAACATATAAAATATCAAAGCAGATAAATCCATCCTAATAATAAATAGGTAGAAAAATACAAACGTGCAAATAAATTAAGTATATAAAAATACACTATTAAATATATAAAACGTGCACATTTTTCGACCTATCATTAGTATAATCGCAAATCATATACTCTTGAAATTTCAACATTTCATGGCTTGTGGGGTTGAAAAAGTACATAAATGATGGATGGGTGAAATAGATGATGGTCCTCGTTATATACAAGGATTCAACTAGAGAGTTGTCCCCCCGGCACTATTCCTTTCGCTCGCTCAAACCCTAACTCAGTTCCATTTTTCTTCTTCTTTTTGAATTCTTACTCTAATCGATCATTACCCGATCGATTAGATTCAATCAGTCGATTATCTCTATTCTGTAACGAGTTTTTTTCTTCTTCTTTTTTTTTTT